ATGCCTCTGCACAATGCCTCATGATTCTCTCCCCTCAGAGTAGCTTTTTGTGACTCTATGATCCTCCAGGCAACTTGAGGGATTACCAGCCCCTGTTCACAATCTGTGGTCAGAGTTTTGCAGGCATTAACTCATTTTATCCTCATAAAAGCCGAACAAAGTCAGTACTTTAACTATTATCATCACCTCATCCTATTTTTTTAAAAAAATAAGAAAGTGGAGACTTAGAAAAGCTAATATGGATTTTTCTTGCTCAGAAAGGGAAGGATTTATGGCAGATAGTCTGATTCTGATGGCCACACCTCAATCACCATCCTCTGAACCCCAAGCCAAGATTTCCAAAGGGAAGGGTCTGATGGGCTCCGTTTGCAACAGGAATAGCTATACCAGTCAGGTGGGATTGTGTAGACCAACAGGGCTGCCTGAGCAGACAAGTGATGCAGCGTGGGGGAGGAAGGAACAGAAGTACTTGGGAAGTCGGACATTATTTGTCAGGCATGTATTCAAAAAGCTGTCTTCTACATCAGGGGTGGTGAGAGTTCAGATTCCCCTTTGGTTACTCAGGAACTGATTTAAGACTAAACTGATTAAATAACTTTCAGGTTACGCATACGACAGAGGCAAGATTCTAATTCCTAAGTTTTATGTAACGATAACAAGCTATCAGAGGATGCTACGATAGTTATAGAAATGCATTATGTGGCGGATTGTACTGCCCCAAATCTGCAACAAGGCTGGGTTGTGGCTCAGTGGTAAATTGCTTGCCTGGAGTGTGTGAGACCCTGGGTTCCATTCTCGGCACCGCATATAAATAAATAAAATAAAGGCCCATTGACAACTAAAAAAAAAAAAGTTCTTAAAAAAATCACGGCATCAAGTATCTCCCACCCCACATGCTCTTCATAAAATATAACTGACATTTCCTTCATGGAGATAAGGAGACTACGGCCGTCCCTTGAATCTATGAGGTCTTCTTCCTATGGCAGAAGCAACACTGTAGGATTTCTGAGATCAGATCATAAAAGGTGAGGGAACTTCTACTGGCTCCCTGAAAATTCTCACCCAACCACCATACTGCCGACTGGGAGTCAGCTTTTCATTATGGTGACAAAACACCTGAGATAAACAACTTACAGAAGGAAAGGTTTATTTTAACTCTTGACTTCAGAAGTGGCGGTACGTGGTCTTTGGGCTTTGTTGTTTTTGAGCCTGTTGACCAGGCAGAACATCATGGTAGAGCAAAGCTGCTCACCTATTGACAGCCAAACATCAAATAGAGGGAGCAGGAGGGCCCAGGGTCTAAAGATCCCCTTCAAGGGCACGCCCCCAATGTCCAACTTCCTCCCACTGGGACTGTCTCTGACAGGTCCCACTATCTCCCAGTGGAGACAGGGGCTGGAAATGAGATCTTTAACACATGGGCCTTTGGGGACATTCAAGATCCAAACTATAGCACCCATTCGGGCAGAAAGATCATACAGAGAACCTTGAGGCACCTGGAGTGACAGAAACACCTGGCCAGCCCCAGTGGCTCCTGCCACCCACTGTTTCAACTACCGTCCGAATGCCGTAGCGTGATAGAACCAGGGCCAGGATCTCCACGTGAGCCCTTCTCAAGTTTCTGACCCACAGAAACTGCGAGAGATGCTATGATTAGAGTTGTTTTGAGGTGTAAGCTTGGAGGGAATTCATTCCAAACAGAAAGGCATGAGAACCATCTGCAATGTTTTGAAAGCCTTTCTGTACGAGAGAAATGATATTTGGCGTGTGAAGGTGTAGCAGGTGAAACCTGCAGGAGGTAAATTTGATTTTTCATGGAGACCTCTAAGTGCAGAATTTTAGAGTTACTCAACAGTGTGTTCAGCTCCTCTTTGTTTTATTATTTTCTTTTTTGGTACCAGCGATCAAACCCAGGGGTGTTCAAATTCAAACAACTGAGCCACATCCCCAGCTCTTTTTATTTTTTATTTTGAGACAGGGGCTTGGGAAATTGCATAGGGCCTTGTTAAGTTGCTAAGGCCTGGCTTCAAACCTACAATCCTCCTGCCTCAGCCTCCGGAGTTGTTGTGATTGCAGGTGTACACCAATTATCACCATTTATCCTCTAAATCTGAGCATTGTCACTGGACATTCAAGCAGAAGATAGATGGCCATTTTGGAGACTGTAGTAGAGGGGTCTGGAAGATCCCCAGAGGAAGCTTCCAACTCTAAAAATACATAAATCCCAATAAGAGGAGGTGAACTGTTTTGAAGAAAACACATTTAGTAAGCTCTTCTTAGAAGAGGTGAGGACAAGGGTTGGAAAAGCAGAAGGAAGGGCCACTCTGCAAAACACCAGTGGGAACTTCTTAACCACCAACTCAGTCACACCCATCTCATCCTCAGCCCTGTTCTCGTCCACTGGGGGGTTATGGGCCATTACCCTTCCTAGGTACTGCAACCCTTGGTTCCCTCCATGCTCACACCCCACTGCCTGCTGCACCTGTCTCTTCTCCTGGTTTGCACCTGCCCTGGCTTTGTTCACCCCATCCTCACCTCTCATCTGGGTGACTGTGGCCACTCTGGATAGACAGACTGTTGCCAAATTCATGACCCTAAACAAATGCCCCAAGTTAAATTCATTAAATCCCCATTGCCTTTGGGACAAAGATGCAAGTTCTTCGACCTTCAAGGCTTTCACAATCTGGCAGAGAATGAAGGAGAAGAAGAAAGAGAGACAGAGATAGAGGATAGAGTTAGAAAAGGGAGAATTGATTAATTCCTATAACCCCAGCATATAATTCATATAACCCCAGTATCTCTAGACTGCCATAATAAACCACAAACTGGGTGGTATAAAACAACAGAAATTTGTTGTCTCCTAGTTCTGGGAGCTAGACATTCAAATTTAAGGTGTTAGCAGAACCATGTTCCTTCTGAAGGTGCTAGGTAAGAATCCTTCTTTGCCTCCTAGCTTCTGGTAGGTCCCAGAAGTCCTTGGCTTGTAGCCACATCAATCTCCACCTATAGCTTCACATGGCCTTCCACTTTGTGTGTGTGCCGACCTCCTTCTTTCTCTCAAAGAGTCCAGTCATTGGATTTAGGGCTTTTCCTAACCCAGTATGACCACATCTTGATCTGCAAAGACTCTACTTTCAAGATAAGGCCTCATTCACAAGCACTGGGAGCTATGATTTGGATCTTTTGGGGAATATAACTAAACCCCCGACAATTCCTAATGGATGGAAACTGCCCAAGCAATGACCTAGCATAGGGCTGCCAACTTGTTTGTGAAATGGTCCTGGGTGAAGTGAAGAATTTCAGGAATGGTGGAAAATAATATTAAATTGGACAGGCCCGAGAAGTTTTTGAACACCAGAAGAGCATGCATGATTGAAGGACAGGATTTTAATCTCATGTCAAAATCAATATGGAAGCTGGATGGATATAGGACAGATTATTGGAAGTAAAGCTAAGAAGGTCAGTTGATAGATGTCTCCATAGCCCAAAGGTGAGAAAGTAGGCAGAGTAGCAGATTGTTAGCCCCAGGGGGCTAGGAATTTTTCTGTTTTTGTCCAGCAGTAGCCAAGGGGTCTTCACTCTCCATCGTGAGTGTCACGTCCTAGGATGCTCCAAACATTGTTGAACAGCTGAACGGAAGGACCTAGTAGGCTTGCAGCAGTACCAATGGGGAGGAGAAAAAAAAATGCAACAGAACCTTCAGAGGGGAGGTGACAGGTGGCCCTGTAACAAGGTGAGGGTGAGAAAGTACTGCAACACTTGAGTCAGGCTCAAGGTCGTTGGGGGGAGGGGTAGCTGAGTGGTAGAGCACATGCGTAGCATGTGCCAGGTTCTGGGTTCCATATGCGTGGGACAAGCATAGTCAGGCTAATAACTTGGCACCTGTTGGAGGTAAACTGAATCCCTCTCGTTCTCGATTTACCTGCCACACACTGTCCACAATAATATGTGTCTCCCGCCATTTATTCCACCTTAGCATGGCCTCTGGAGTGTGGTTCCATAACACTATTGGTGGTTGTGTTCTGCACACAGTAGGCCCTCAGTACAACGTCCATTAAATGAAAGTAGGAATGAATGGATTTCTACCTTTAGGCAAAGCCGAAAGAGCCCCTGGATGTCAACTCTGGATGTTAGACTTGTGTACGTTTCAAAACACTTGGCACATAGTGAGCACTTGTTGAACCAAACAGAATAAATCCGATTCGCCCAGCTCCGCCCTGGCAGCGCGAGGTCTGCGTTTGGCAGGATGACAGAATTCACTGCTATTAAATTCTTATGTAAGAGTTAATGACCCTCCGGCCCACTTGACATCCCTGCACGACAAGGGAAGGGAAGGGGGCGAGTGCACTATTTACAAACACGCACTGTTTGGTGGTAGAGGCACTGACTCGTTTCTAGTGTCGGTTCCCCACAGGGACCTTGGAATCCCGCTGCAAGCTCGGGCCGGGGCGCTGGGGGGCGGCGGGCCGGGGCCCTCGGATGGGGCGCATTTATCCCGCGGGCAAGGCCTGCCCACCTGGCACGGCGTGCCCGCGCCCGGCATTCCGCCCAGGGCTCTGGCTCTGCGGGTGACAGCGGTCCCCGAGGGGGACTCGAGCTCCCGGCGCGCTCCCCGGGTCCCCGCAGGCGCCGGGGCGGCCTCGGCGCGGCGGCCCCACCCCGCAGGAGCAGGCGCGCGGCGCGAACTCCCGCCGCCCGGCCACGGTGGGCGCCGCGCGCCGAGGCGGCCCCGGGGAGCGCGGGCCGTGGCGCGGGCGGAAGATGGCGGCGCGGCCGGGCCCCCGGTGGCCGCGAGGGGCCGCGGCGCTGCGCGCTCGGCTGGGCCGGCTCGGCTAGAGCGGCGCCTGGGCCGCGGCGCGGCCTCCTCCCCGCCCGCCGCCGCGCCCCGCCCCGCGCCCGCCCCTCCCCGGCCGCGGCCGTGCCCCGCGTCGCGCTCCCCCGGGATGGCCCGCGCGCCTCGGCGCTGCCTCGCGGAGCACTCGGCGGAGCGGCGGCCGCGCTCGGGGGGCGCGCGGCGGCGGCGGCGGCGGCGCGGCGCGTGAGGCCGCCTCTGGCCGAGCGGCGCCGCCAACATGTCGGATACCAAGGTAAAAGTTGCCGTCCGGGTCCGGCCCATGAACCGACGAGGTGAGGAGCTCTCCGCGCGTTTCCGTTTCTGCCCGGGCGGGCCGAGGGCGGGGGCAACTTTGGAAACTGCGGGGCGGCGGGGCCGGGCGGTGAGAGCGCGGCCGGGGCCCGGGCCCCGGGCGGAGGCGGCGCCCGCAGCGGCTAGGCCACCCGGCGCCCGGGGCTCGGTCCCCGGCTCGGCCGCCTCCCGGGACCGCGCGGCGGCGGGAGGCAGCGCGGGGCGAGGTGGCGACGCTGGTGTGCCCTGTGCTTTCAGAACTGGAACTGAACACCAAGTGCGTGGTGGAGATGGAAGGGAACCAAACGGTCCTGCACCCTCCTCCTTCCAACACCAAACAGGGAGAAAGGTGAGGCGCGTTCCGCGAGGGCGGGTGGGAGGACCCAGCTCGCAGGGTCCTGCAAGTTTGAGCCAGGAAAACGGGAGTGCGCCTTCCTATTGTTAGAGGGCGGCTTCAAGTTTGTCTCACGCTGCCTTTGGAAGCGGTTTCAAGTCCAAGTTCCTCTCTTCCCTCTGTTTCCCCCACCCCCGCCGCTGCCGGTTCCCTCCCCTCCCGAGCGTTGTCACTCAGAGCCGGCGCTCCGGCCACCGCCAGCACCGGTCAGCTGCGTCCCCGTGGGCTTCTCGGCAGGCACTCCGAGCTAGGGGGACGGGTGGAACCCTAGGATAATTAGTTCAGTGGCCACATTTTATGGATAAGAAAACTGAGGCCTGAAGTGGCCAGTGACCAGCCCACGGCCTCCGTGGCACCCAGCGCCCGTGATTCTTTCCTTCTGGGCTTCCTTGGGCAGAATTGTTTAGGGACATTGTGTGTAAGATGGGGATTGGGAGGTGGGGGGCGGGGGCTAAAGCAGAAACAGTCTTGTAGGATGCAGGCTCAGGCTGGACCATTTAAAATCTATTTTTTTTTTTTTGTTGGTGTTGAGTTGAGATAATGCCTGAATGTAATGCGCGAATTTTGATTTTCAAGGAAACAAAAGTAGAGCCCTGAACTGTGTAGACACTGGAGGGATGTTTAAAAGGGGGCTGCATTTCCTAGATCGCAACATATTTGCATTTGAAAAGTGGTAACTGTTGGATCCTTATTAATTCTGCTGTGTTCCATGCAGTACTATGGGAAAATGCCCTAAAATAATTTGAATATTTGGCATTTTTCTGGTAAGCCCTGGAGAAGAAATGTGTTGGAATTCATTCAGTATGGCAATTCAGTAGCTTGTAAAAAAAAAAAATCAAAGAAAAACCGGGATTCTACCAAAATATTTCCTCTTGGAAATGAGTATGAGTTTGTTTCTAAAAGTCACCTGTTGATTGATGAGCTACAATGTAGTGATTTTGCTCTTAAGAGGTTTTCATTGAAGACAGGCTCTGAAGTAGTGTTTGTTACTTTATTGCTAAAGGAGGCAGCTGCTCCTATTCAATAATAATGTGGTATCAGGCACCCTTTAGCTAAATTGAGGGAATGACATTATGAAAAGGTAAGATTAGGATTCTTCACTTTTTTTTGTTGAGCCTAGCAATTTTTTTTATCTGATTTGACAATATTTTGCTACCCATAGCAGATTCTTATGGTGATATTAAATAGCTAGATTAAATTTAAAATGTTATGTTAAATACTTTTAAGTAATGGATTTATCCTTGGGCTGTATTTTTAGATGCATTTGAAATATTTTTACAGTATTTTTAGATACAGCAGAGTAGATAATATGTTTCATGGTGATAGTAAGTAAACTAAGTTAAAATATTTACATATTATGTGAACACAACACTAAAGTCTTCCTACCCCCTGAAAAAGGATATTGTTTTATTATTTCAGAGAAAAAATATTTTTTTGGTGGCTCACATTCTTCAAGGCAGTCTGGGAAACAGGTCTAACATTTTGACTCCTGTATTTTCCGCTTATCTTATCCTAGCTGGGGTGGCACCTTCTCCTTGTCACTCTTTCCATAAGGAGCACTATTGTTGGTTACTATTTAATGAAATGAAGCCGTGTCATTTGTGCAGAGAAACAGGCTTAATTTTGTGGATAGAATTTGTAACTTCAGACTGTGCTAAATAATCAGTTGATCATTTTGGGGACTGCCACATTAGTCACTGATCAGATCTTTTCAGTAAAGATTTCAAAGGTGATTTTGGTATTTTTTTCCTTTGGCTTTCTTACTGGGACAGCCCCTGTCTGGAGCTGTGAGACTAGCATTGAAATATGGGTGCTCTCATTCATCCTTGTGACGCGTGATGCTTTGTGTTGGTGGATGGGCCCTTTTGGTGGGATTCTGCTTGTGTCCTGGCCATTCCATTTACGAGCAGGAGAGTCAGCCCACTACTTGTAGATGCTACTTGAAGATGAAAATTACCGTCTTTGCATGGACGAAGACACCAAGTGCATTTTGATTTTCACTATGCAGCTTGGTTCATGTTTCTTCAGGGAGCTTTCCCTTAAAGCAACAGTGCTTTTAAAAAATAGAAACAATTACTCCCTTGGGCTCTAGGTTGATTAATTGCAATAGTGGTTCATGTTATATTTGCAATTCGTTTCTATCATTTGTTTTTGGATAGAGCTCCGGGTAGGGCAAGTGTGAACCAGTTGTATACTGAGAATATTTATTATTTCTCATACCTAGAAATCCAAGTTTTAAAGTATAAGAGGTCCTTACATAATATTGGCCAAATTGTGTCAGGTTGAGAATTACTGTTTTTCTGAAAGTTGCAAGAAAACACCAATGCATTAGTCACAAGTGGCAATTCAGAGTTACTGGGTGAAAGTTTTCAGTCTTACTAGCAAGAGAAAGTGAGAATGCATTGACTTCCAGAAAAAGAAATAGGCTTAGCTTTCTTAATGTTCCCCCTTTATGGAATCAAAGGCCAGACTGCTTAGTTAGGACTAGAAGATCAGAGGACTTCTGAGGGTAAAGATGTTTGTTCTGGTGCTGAAATTCTAAGATTGTTATACATGATGTAGGTCCAGGTTAATAGTTGACTTGAACAGTAAGAGACAGGAGTTTGTTTCTTAAAATTCTATTGCCTTGCCATTCAGGAGCCATTTACAGAGTTCATATGGATATTATGCTTGGCACAGAGTATCCAGAGATAACTGCAGGTCTGCTGCCTATTCCCGAGGTTCTCAACTTGAGAGTTGTGGGAAGAAAGAGGAAAAAATACTTAAAATACAGTGTGGTAATTACATGGGCATATACTTTTGCCATTATATGTACCTTATCATTTGGACATTGCCTGCTTTCTCTCCTGTCCTGCCCTGAAGGCTTCGAGCTTCCTGAAGGCAGGTACCTTGTACCCTTTGTGCCCTGTATCCCTGCACAGTGCCTGGCACAGAGCAAGCGCTCAGCACCTTTCTCCAGAGTGATGTGAGCACTGGAGAAAGACTAGGCAAGCCCCTTAGGTTCTGCAGCCTGCAGAGACAGGTGGCATTTGTGCTGGTCTTGTGCAAGGTGGGGTAAAGTCCTTTGTGGATAAAAGTGAAAGCATGCCTGCCAGATTACTTCTGGGTGATTATACCATGTGAGTATGAGTGTGGGGTGTGGATTAGGATGTGGAAACAAGGCCATTTGCTGGTAGGGGGTATGTGGGTGGGGGGGAGACGGATGAGAATTCCTTATGTGCCCGAGTGTGTGAGATAGAAAGTGAAAAGTCTTCCACTCACTCCTGTTTGTCTCCTCTACTCTTCTCATCTTACCTCTTCAAAAAAAGCATCACCAAAGCCATCTATTTCTCATGAATTTTCTTGCCTTTATAGTCTATATTGACATACATATGCAATAAGTATAACTTGCAAGTATATAGATGAATACATACATATGTATATTGTAACAAATACTTTTGTTACTGTTCAATACTAGCATATATAGAAGACTTACTCATCCTTTCTTATACCTCTTATGGATGATCTTTTTCTTTTTTTCCCCTAATGCTGGGGATTGAACCCAGGGCCTTGGGCTTGCTAGGCAAGCATGCTACCACTAAGCTATGCCCCTAGCTCCATAGTGGTAGGTTTTGTTTTGTTTTGCTTTGTAAAATATAGATCATTAGCCTCAGAATCTGATCCTTATAACTTTTGGAAAGTGAAGCTTTATTAGGAAGAGTGCATGATGGAACTTGCTTTCTACAGGAATTTGTCATTATTTTATGTAAGTGAATTGTAAGGTGAGCATCTAAAGTAAAGTGTGTATTGAGCCTAAATAAGAAGAAAATATTGGGCCTAATACGGACTCTTAGTAGAAGAACATCAGTTTTATACTTCTGATTTTCTTCCACACTGCGGGGTGTGCAGTGTACCTTACAACCTCTGTGAGGAAGGGTCTGGTGGGAGAAAGCGAACCCTTGGTCACCTGCTTGTATATTTTCTAGTTTATACCTCTGTGTTTTTATTTCTAGGCTGACTTCACTTGCCATTCCAGAGTCTTCTAAGATATTTCCTCCTGTTCAAGGGTCTCTGTAGATAGGCCACAAATTTAAAAATTAGTGAAAGTCACACAAAATTAGAAACGTAAATCACCTAAGAAACAATAATATTCCACGTTATCATCAAATCATTTTCAGGGACTTTAGTTGTTTTCTGTGTCATTACTCTTCTGTCTGGCTTTATTAAAGATATTTAGGGTTCACTAATATAGAAATATGCATTCTTCAGGTTTGTCATTAGTGGGATTTCAAGGAGTATCACAATCAGATATTTTTATTAGCTGTCAGTGTCTTCAGTTTGTTTGAAAATAAATGTACATGGAAATCTTTTTTTAAAAACAAGTTTTAAAGCAATTATAATGCAGTATAGAGTGGTTTGAAAATTATTTTGATATAGTCTATGATTCAAAATGCCTTTTACATTTTGAAATAAACCCTATATGTGTGTATGTGTATTTTAAATGTTCATGGAAGTATAGTCTTAAATATACGCAGTGTCTTTCTTATTTTCTGTTCTTTTCTGTTCATTTAAAACATGATAGTTGTGCTGTGTAATCCAGTGACTTGGGAGGCTGAGGCAGGAGGATCACTAGTTCTAGGCCAGCCGCAGCAATGTGGTAAGGCCCTGTCAAAAATAAAAGGGTTGGGATGTGGCTCAGTGGTAAAGTGCTCTGGGTTAAATCCCTCGTGCCAAAATAAAACAAAACAAAAAGATGGTTGTGACTTACCTGTGATTTCACAACCCACAAATGAGTCACAAGTGGATAATTTGAAAACACAAGTTTAGTGGGTAAGAGTTTGGGCTCTGTTTTTGTTTTGTGTTCTCATTTTTTTTTTCCTTTTTAAATTAGAGTGAAGTGTAAAGTCATAATTTATAAAGTTTATAAAGCTCTATAATTTGTAAATATTATAGTAAAAAAGAAGAAGAAGCAGCCG